CCTGGTTTTAGTTTAGAAAACATGCAAATAGAAACGGATGAACGGGTCCCCCCCTTTGGAATGGGGGTCGTTTGGCTTCTTGTTAGCCTGCAATGCCCCATACCTGTCTATGTCTCTGAAAGGGGGGTCGTTAGAGGGAATAGTTGGCCTGGATGAACAGGTGAGGTCTTCTGTTCTCCTGTAAAGGGGTTGGAGCTGCGATGATAGCGGGAAGGAATCAACTCTATCGCTGCATTGGAGGTTTATGGAAGCTGTTTAATGTTGGTTTTTCTCTCTTAACATAGATGGCGGGAGGTTGAGGCAGTGAAGAGAGGGAGATCTGTCAACCAGTTACAGCTCAAAGCAGCACTACGGGAACTAAGATTGCTCCATTTGATGACGTATCTGATCTCCTCTGTCTTCTTCACCTCCTCTTCTCTTATATTTACTCTTCTTGCTCCCTCCATTGTACTCCCCACAGACAGCTCACCTGTGGCTCATTTAAGGTGCTGAGGCTGATTGCAGAGTGAACTGATTCTCTAAAATAGTTTTAACATGTGGCTGTGTGCCAGACAGTTGGAAAAATAGTGTAAATAATAACCTTAAATGTTATCATTTTGCTAGGAGAGAGTTGATCATTTGCAAATTCAGCATAAAGCAATAAGTTGTTAACAGTTCTACAAAAATAGTGCTGTGCATTAGATTGAATCTACAGTTTTAAAAATGTGTGTCAGTTTGGCAAACTGAGTGCAAAGCAATATTTGTGCTTTCAGTTTTGTAAACTCAGTGATGGGTTTTACCATAAGTATTAATATAAAATGTTAATGTGCTAATTTACACGTTGAGCCTTAGGAAGCTTATATAGGATAAGCCTTTTAGATTTTTGTGGGTCCAGACAGATCTATTTTGTTTATATCTATAAGGCTTTTTTTATCTGGTTGCCTACCACTGACCTAAATTGTTAAAAGTCGACTTGCTAAACAGTCCAAGGAGCTGTTAGCATTTCTTTGTAAGAATGATAATAAAAAAAAAAACATTTAAAAAAAAATCTACAAAATGTGTTTTTTTCAGCAAACATTTGGTTTTCATTATTAACATGTTTCAACTTCAGCAACATGCTGTATAGTTTCTTTACTGCACCTATTAACTGCTAAAAAATTTTTAAATAATAACACAGAAATGTTAGAAATATAAACTAAACCTGCATTCAGTTGAATATTCAAAATTCACTTTATTATATAGCCCTTAGTTAGTTCAATAACTGAAGTTATTATTGTACGAAATTGTGCTATTAATTAGTCAATCATGGTTATTTTTGTTTTTTTTAGAATTAAAAGTTATCAGATTTAATTTAGCATAATAAAAATAAAAAAGCTAAAAAGCATTAAAACTAAAAATCAGATATAATTCAGATAAAGTTTTGGTCTAATGTCCAATCTTATATATTAGCTGTAAAAAAACATCAATAATTTTATCTTTATTATTATTATTATTAGATTTAGACATTCAGAGTTTATCATCCAAATTCTATGTGTTCTCAAAGTGCATCTCTGCTCTAATCCAGTTTAATTGAAACTTCCAATAACTAAATCATATAAAAGCACATTTTATGGTCTCCTCAGAACCAGAGCAAACGCAGAAACTAACATTTTATTATAGATCAATCATGTTGGGTTTATTTAGACTGGAACTGGAATGAAGCTGATTAGATTTGTTAGAGGCAACTAAAGTTGCAGTTTATTCTCATTATGAGTTTGTATGAAATCGTACGAAAAGTGATGCACCGTAATTTCGTATGTTTTTGCCGTTTTTTTTCGTCGTATTTCGTCGTATTTTTAGGTCTTGCCCCGAGACAAGATATCCTTGCGCGTGCGCATCTTACGCACCATTTAATAACATAGAATTTAAATTAACGCTGACCCTAAGATACAAAACAGCAAACAACCTAGTTAGAGACATGAAGAAGTAATTATTGCACTGTCCGTCCCAGTTTTACGTCCGTCCGCGGATCTGCTTTTTTCGTCTGTCTGGCAGCGCATGCGCACTGATGTGTTTTTTCGAGGAAAAACGTCCAAAACGTACGAAATACTGTGCATAACTTTTCGTATGATTTCATACAAACTGATAATGAGAATATGTTGAAAGTTGTTATAGTTTGAAAAACTGAAAGAGAGAATAAATAAATAAAAAATTATAAATGAATACAGTGTAAAAATGTTTTTTTTTTTTTTTTTTACCAATTTCCTGATATCCAGGGTAGGATATTGTAATCTTTGCTTGAAGCTTCTGGACTTCTTTATGTCTGCAGAAAGACAGAAGAGTCACGTTTTGGAAGCTTTTTATAGAGAGAAGAAGACGTCAGCATGTGATCTGAATACTTTGGATTTTACACTGTAAAATAAATACATTTACTGTGTTGCAGCATCAATTTGAATCAGTTGACTTTTAACATAGAGCCTTGCAGAAGTTGAAGTATTCACACCTCTTTAAATAATGCAGATCTCAGTGGTTCAGGTCATGACACCCAGAAAAACAAGCTTTAATCGCAGGAAACCCGACTTCCGTTACGTTTTTTAAAGCCATTTCTTCAAAGCAAATTAAAGACCCACCCACCAATCTGTTGACTTATTTTCCTTCTATTGTTTGTTATTATTTTTTGTTGTTGTTGTTGTTGTTGTTTTTCTGAATGATTTTTTACAGCAATTCCCCCCCCCCTTCAGCGTTGGCTTTTCTCTTTTCACAAACATGGTTTCCTTTATCTCTCTTTCAAATCCTTTGTCCTCTCCTTCTGAAATCTGAATGTTAATGTCTTTATTTAGGATTTCTAGATCAATGCAAAGTAGAAATAATTGAGAAGGAAAAAGTATAAAAATGTAAAACACGTTATGTGTTTAGAGGAAGTCAATGTCCACCATTAGGAGTCAAAGTCTTTCCGTGTTTCTTTACAAAGCTTTCTTCCTTCTGGTCTTTTCAAAATTGGAAATGCTCCATTGAACTGGATATAAAAAGTACTGAAACATTAACTTTCAGAGCTCGCCAGGAGTTCTTATGATGATTTAGGCCAAGAACTTTCTGGTAAAATAATTTGAATTGATTGAAACCGTTACAGTGCAGGTCTGGCAGCATGTTTAATGTCATTATCCTCCTGGAGAATAAAAGCTTTGCTGTAGACTCTATGAGATTTTCTTCCATGTTGACCTGCTTCCACTCTCTGCTTAAGAAAATCATCCTCAAAGCATGATTCTGCCACCACTGTGTTTTAGACTTTGACTTATACAACTTTTATTGTCATTTTGTACACACAGAGTGTATATAAAACAAAATTTGGTTTTGTGCAGCTTTCAGACAGTAAATGAGCAGCAATTAAATAATTTCATTTTATAAAGTGCAGCAGTGATCGAATTTAAACAGTGTGGGAGAAAAACGTGGTGCAGAAACGCATTGATATGGAAGTTCAGAGCAGCACAAAGATATATATATATATATATATGGTGCAAAATGCTGTAGAAAAACATTTTTGTGTTTAGTTCGGTTTGGTTTGATGTGATGCAGAGTTTCTATTTGTGACTTGATTTAGAGTTTTTTGGTTTTTTTTTTTTTCAACAGTTCAGTCTGATGGCAGTGGGGGAAAAGCTGTTACAGAACCTGCAGCAGATGCTGCAAAGCGTGAGGACATTGTGTTCAGCCTGAGGTGCAGCGTTTGTTGCACATAGTATTTGACATACAGGTCCCAAAGAATCGAAGCATCTAATTCCTGGTGTTTGGGATGTTCCCTGCATGAAGCTTCATTTTCTTCAACAATGCCTTCTGTGTTTCTCTGAGTGAGCTGCCAACGTCCTGCACAGATACTTTGACAGGAACTGTAGATTTCTGCAGATCATCCAGAATTACCAAATGCCACTCAACTGCT